TAATTAGGTACTAACCCTGAACTAGGGTGACCATACGTGCCATTTTCCCAGGACGCATCCTGGCCAGGATTTCTATATTGCCTAAAATATCTAGGTTTTGGCTTTGTTTGCGTGTGCAGACCGATCGGTGTATGACATCAAAATACCTCGAGAGCATTTTGAAAGCATAAGGAACCGTCTGTATGGTATTTTGATGTCATACACCGATCAGTCTGCACACGCAAACAAAGCCAAAACCTAGATATTTTAGGCAATATAGAAATCCTGGCCAGGATGCGTCCTGGGAAAATGGCACGTATGGTCACCCTAAATTAACCACACCTTAACAGGCTAAAAGACATACTAGAAACTTCCAGGCAGGTGTGTTGAGGCAAGTTGAAGCTAAACTCTGCAGGACAGTGGTCCTCCAGGACCGAGTTTGGACACCCTTGCTGCATGTTATTAAAATAAAATAAAAATATAATAAAACTGTTCCTTTAAGAAAAAAATGACCTTGTCTTTGTAATCAGCACTAGCCCCCCAAAGCACAGCTCCAGAAGCTCCTAGAGCTGCACTCTCACCTATACTGCTGACCAAGTCAATCTAGAGAGAAACAGACAGCATATTACTGCAAGAAACCTACATGGCCGAGACCAGTGGTTTCCTAGAGTACCCTCAACACTGTGCATTCTGCATGTATCCTTTGACACACTCATTTCAGGTCTTGGAGCAGGGGTGTCAAACTCCACAGTCCTACAGAGTTTAGTTCCAATTCTGCTCAAACACACATTCTTGTTGCTTTCAAATAACCCTGAAGGACTTGATTAGCTGGATCGAGTGTGTTTAATTAAGGTTTAAAGTGCCCCTAGTATGCCATTTTGAATATTGCCTTTCATGCAGTGTGTAACATAGCTGTATGTGAATGTAAATGCAAAGTTGTAAAGCTGAAAGTGAACGATAATTAAAGTTATAGTCTCCCAAACAATGTTCTACATTGGCTGGTGCAAACAACTTGACCCAAGTATATAGGCCTGAACATGTACTTTCCTGTGAAAGTAATTTTGTTTTATTTTCATTTCCAAAAGATGAGGCTGCAAAAAAATCTGTGGTTAAAATTCATTTTTGTGCATCACAGCAGTACATCCCCAATCCTTTTTTGTGTTCCAGTCATTTTACTGATGACTGCTTCTCTAATCTCAATGGCGTATCGTTTCCTACACGCGCTCTATGCGGTAGACCAATCACAACAGACTGGGCCATCTGACCAATCAAAGCAGAGTAGGCTCATGGAAAGGAGGGGTTTAGAGAGGGGTTTTGAGAATTTTTGGAAAATGAGGTGAAATTAAATGTATATTTTGAGAAAATGAAAGCATTTTTTTTGACCTTGCATGCATGTAAACCTATTGTAGGAGACTCCCAAAACAATATTAGAAACCTTAAAAATGGCAAAATAGGGTCACTTTAAGCTAAACTCTGCATGGCTGTGGCCCTGCAGGAAGTGAGTTTGACACCCCTGTCTTGGAGTGCCAACTAATGAGCTGATGAGTTGAATCCAGGTTGGGAACTACTGGCCTGGCCTAGACTAGGGCTACGTTCCGGTTCATTTTTTTATGCCCTTCCCTCGCTAACTTCCCTCCGTCTCATTGAATTGGATGTGCATCATTGATTACGTTGAACGAGTGCCGACTAATGGCGGAACACTTGCAATAGGCTGAATTGGATCGTCCTAAGCCCTTGAACATTTAGAATCTGCTATAGAGTTGATTTATTATTTAAATTTTTTTCCCCTTAAGAATTTGTTTGATGTAGCATGCATATATAGATAGGTGTGGTTGGGCTGTTTTAAATATATATTTAAAAAATCATTTATATATAATAGAGTTGTTTTGCGGGTGGGGATAAATTAAAAGCGATCAGTGGTGATGTCACAATTGTGATGCATTGTGGTCTATGGAGTAGCCTGAAGTGCAAAAAGTGAAGTGGAGCGCAGCCCCAACTGTAATGTAAAATATAGTGGAGGGGCCATTGGGGCTGCTTTGCTGCCTCAGGGCCTGGACAGCTTGCTATAATCGATGGCGAAATGAATTCCCAAGGTGATTGGGACATTTTGCAGGAAAATATTATTCCATCTGTCTGCCAGTTGAAGCTCAACAGAAGTTGAGTAATGTGACCACAATAATCCAAAGAGGGAGGCTCTACAATTTATTAAATCACATATATTTTCCACCCTGCACTGTAAATGTTTACATGGTGTGTTTGATAAAGGGATGAAAATGTAAAAATGTAAATTGTTGTACATGTGGCTTAGTTGAAGATCAGTTCAAATTGTATGACAAATTGTTGAAGAAATTTGGGCAAAGACAAAGGATTTGCAAAATGTTTCCTTTAATGCATTCCAAGAAAATTCTGACATTGAGAATCAAGACCAGGTTACAATCCTTTATTTGCAGTGCATCATGAGTCAAGCAACAATTGTCTTCATCGAGTATTTGATTAATTAATGGTAACCTATGCTTAATGTACAAAAAATCAAGTAATGAATTACACATTGCATTAGTGTTGTCAAAAGACCCGGTATTTCGGTACCAAGTCGGTACTAAAAAAATGAAAACGTTAAGGTACCAGGTTTTCTTAAGTACCGGTGGTACCGAGTACCCGGTCAACCCGGTCCTTGATGCGCTATCAGAAAGCTATCCTCTTCCAGTGTTGCCAAGTCCGCAGTTTTCCCATGGAATTGGGCTGCTTAACACTGTTGCCGCGGGTTGTTTTTCATGTTGGGTTGAAAAACGACCCCATTAACGTGATATTTAGCCCCTGGAATGCGAATGTTACCAGGGGAACCCCGCCAAAACATACGTATTTTATCCCCGGAACGCGATTTTTAACGGGGACCCCCTCGTTGCATAAATGACTGATTTTGAGATGAATAAAAAATAAATCTTTGGAAATATATTTGGAGAACTTCTGCACTGAGGTAAAAAAAAAAAAACACTGACCAATAATGACGGCTCTGATAATAGTGTCTCATACAAACTACTGTCTACATGCTACAAAATGCAGTATTTTAGAAAAATGTGCATATTGAGTCAAAACAGGTCAGAAAATAGTGATAAAACATGGTCTGATTATCCTTCAACCTGAAACTGGACATGTAAGACAATCTGTAGACCTATATTACAGTTTCTAACAAATTGCAGATTCTGCTAATTAAAAGTATTCAAAGTACTGAAAGATGTTGAGGTATATTACCTTTCTTTGTTTTCAGTATCAATCATTCTGGCTTCATTCAAACAAGAACAAAAAAAGACAGTTTAACGTACAATCATAATGAGTTTTCACACACCACAGCATTCTGTAGTTTAGCAAATGCAAACTTACATGTGTAAACATACATCTTCATAATCTTTGGTTGAGCACACATTTCAGGAATTTGGGGGGAAACAATGAAATGAGCTATTTTGTATTTTAATGAAATTCAGCTAGCTTCAACTCTGGTTGTGTCCACTGAGTTTTCTCATCATTAATATGATGATTACAATGCTTTATTCTAGTGTGCAATTTTGATAAAAGCTTAAAATATGATGAAAGATATAATGATTAATTGTTTATAATGGTATAACGACAAACTTGTCATGTTGGCATTTGTACTGTATTTTATACATTTGTACTGTATTTTACAAATGTACTTTATACAATGTTCAATAAGATGAGAACAGTAACATCTGAACATGTTTTGTGATTCTATCTGTTTTCCCTTTTTTTTTTGAGAAAATTATAAACTGAGGTGCATATATTTTATATGATTTAAACCATTAGGCTAAGGATTATTTTGACCCACTAGCACAAGTCACTTCAAATAATGATTAATTGATATAGTCTATAATTATTTTAAGTTTAGCTACTTGGTATTTAGCTATTTTGACAAATATAACATTTGGCCAGTTTAGATTATAAAGCTTGACATGTGTATATAATATGTGGATCTTACCTCATTTAGGTAAGTTTTGAATACCAAGCGCTCCCTGACTTTGAAGTGCTCTGATAGCAAGTATTGTTGTAAGTGATAAGCTTGCTAATTTATGTCACGGGAAGCATCTTGGTTTCAGTGCTTTGTAAAAACAAACTGCATAGATTTAACCTTTCCTGTCAGAATTTTGTTTTTTACAAGTTAACAATCATCGAGCATTCATCCAGAACAGACTGAAGATTGTGCAAACAAGGCTTGCATCTAATCTACATTAGCATACAGCACCATTGTAACAATTATAATTTTTCAGTATTGCAAAATCACAAACATTAAAACCTGACTGAGTGATGATGTGCCAAAGTGGCTCTTTAGCCACTTTTCATTAAAGGTGAAGTGTGTAATTTTTCTAATCTGAGATTTGAGTTTTTCTGGTTGGTCGGTAAGTGTCAGAAGTCTGTCTGAAGGACTTTTATTTTGACAGCACTAACATGCAGGAGCTCCTGTTCTCTGTCTTCTCTGTTCACTGTCTTAGTGTAACAGTTCTATCTAATAAATTATTAGACAGAAATAAATTATGCAGAAAAAATATATATATTTTTTATCCTGTTCAAATTTTTTCATATTGATTAATTTACAAACTATTAATTTCTAATTTAGTAAATATTATGCAAAAAATAAATGTAAATGATGAGTTATTTGGTATCTTTAAATCAAATTCTCATATCATATATATTTATCAGCCATTGGCCACCTTGCTCTCTAAGATACCAGCGTTGCCTATCAAAAATCCATTTTGGTTGACCACTAGCGTAAATTTTGGCTCTGTAGCATTTTCAAAACATTTCTCTGTTTGTATGTGAATCTGGCCAGCTAAACATGCCAACAGTGGCTTAACAAATTATGTGAGTTTGGGGGGGGGGATTGGGCTGGCTATCTGTTTGTTTAACCAATAGAAGACAGGAGGAGTGTTTGGGAAACCTGTTTGAAAATGATTATTGTTGTTTTGGCAGTTCCATCCGATGATGTTAGTGGTGCAGAAAATACACACTTCACCTCTAAATAGAACTGAAGTTCAACAAGAGGAGAAGAGCAGTCAGGATGAAGGCGTTTTGTAAAGGCACAGCAGTATCCCTTATGTCTTGGTAGTCCTCTGATTCCTTCTTTTTCTCCTCCTCCTCCACATCCTCTTTTATCATGTTGTCCTCCTCTGTCTCCTCCGGCTCTATGCTATCACAGCGCTCTCCCTCATACCCCTGGTAACAGTGACAGCGGAACCTGTCGGCCAGCATCTGGCGCTCGTTCTTAGTTTGCTGTCCGATCACGGTGAAGGTGCCATTCCAATTAGACAGGATCCGATAGTTGCCGCGGCTCAGGTGCAGGTAGTGTGGTGCCTGTGGGTCTCTACGGACACAGCGACCATTGGTCTGACACAGTAAGTCGCTACAAATTTCTGCTGCCTGCGTAACGTTAGTGATGTATTGACCCAGTCTATAGTTCAGAAATGCCTTCACTTTGGAACAATTGTGCTGAGGGGACACAGGAAGTTACAGTAAGTTAAAACTGTGGCATTAAACTACAGGAAACCTAGTGCAAACTTTTCTTTGTTTATTAATGCATTCTGTATTGAACCAGAAATCAATGTAAATGTCACATTGTATTACGATCATTGTATCTGGTGACCTTTAGCATTTTGCTACAGAAAATATCTATAACAGGGGTTTTCAAACTTTTTGATTCTATGAACCCCAAAATATGGTGGTCTCCTTAAGAGATTTTTTATTGAAAAACATGGTTCTTGTAACTTCTAGAATCACAAAATTAATTGTGTTTAAATTAATGTACTATATCAATGATTCCAGTTTCTGTTAAAGGGGTCATATGATGCTGCTAAAAAGAACATTATTTGGTGTATTTGGTGTAATGAAATGTGTTTATGGGGTTTAAAGTAAAAAAAACACAAAAAGTGTGAAAACAAGCAGCTTTGTCATAATTACAGCATAAATGTCTAAATTAGCTTAATCACATTTCAAAATTAGCTGTATATTTTGTTATTATTCCGAAACACCTGCCTGCAATTTTCAAGTCATCATGAACACCTTGATTAGCTGGTTTAGGTCGGTGTGTGTGTGTGTGTGTGTGTGTGTGTGTGTGTGTGTGTGATTAGATTTGGAGCTAAAATCTGCAGGACAGTGGGTCTCCATAAGCAGGGTTGAGGACCTCTGCCTTAGGAGGAAAAGCTTGAAAATCCCTTGAAAATCTAGGAATTTTCTCCTTGAAGCAAATTTGCAACTAATAAACACAGCAGTCTTGACCAATGAGACAAGTATCATTGTGGAAGAAGGTACTTATGAACAAATGTCAAGATATTTCAGGTGTAAAAATCTCACCCTTGAAGAAGTAAGGTTAAGATCTCCCCAAATGACAAATCCTGCAGCACCCAAAGCAGCGCTTTCTCCTATTGTATGTATCAAGTCCTTCTGTGAAATGAAAATGGATTACGAAATTAATGTAAATATGTACCATTAAAATGTAAGTTTACTGACAAAGTTTCGTAAAACATTAAATAGTTCTACTGAAATTATTATTATAAGTGTTTTTTTCTGGACCACAAGAGGGAGCTCTTGATTTTTGACTCAAAGTTTGTGTGTAAAGAACAGGGGTGTCCAAACCTGTACCTGGAGGGCCACAGTCCTGCAGGGGTTATCTCCAACCCCAATTAAACACACCTGGACCAGCTAATCAAGGTCTTCAGTGCACTAGAAACCTCCAGGAAAGTGTGTTGGAGCTGGTTGGGCTAAACTCTGCAGGACATTGACCCTCCAGCAATGTTAGAAAATTATGTAAGTGTTATTATCATCATTTGTTTTTGAACATTTAACACTCAGAAGATTCAAACAGAGATTTGTCTTTGGGAAGGTTGACTGCATGTACAATAAAATTGTATCGGGGACTTGTGTATGTTTCTCCAAAGTACATTTTGTTATATTTAGATTTCTGATTGAATATATGTTCCTACCTGGGTCAGAAAAGCCATGGCCTCGTCTCTATACCCCAAGCGTGTGTATACAAATGTAGGCAGCTCATAGGGCAGTGAGGTAAGGGAGGCCAGTCGCAGCGACTCCAGTACCCTGTTCTGTGAGAAGTGCAGGTTGCAAATGCTGTCCATGTGGTCTTTGCGTATAGCGAGGGCTGGGAAGAAGGCAGTGCTGCTGTTCCACAACCAAAACAGCTGGTCATTACGCTGGCTCTCCTGTAGGGGGCATGTGCCGCTGTAGTTGTGTGCATGTACATTGTAATTGTGACAGTCAGGGTAAAGATAAAAACCCCAGAGTCCGTGCGGACGAGTTTGTGTACCGAGCTTCAGCGTGCCCTGCATGAACTCCATAGCACTCTTCTCGAAGCGCAAGCGTGCCAGCTCTTCCACCTGTTCTTCAGTCACATTAAGGTAGGCCTGTGCAATCAGCTCTCGTGAACGCTGTCGGTAAATGTCTTTTTTGTGCCAGTTACGATTCCACTGTGGCCGCCAGAACTCCCAGTCGATCACAGCCAGGCCACGGAAATCTTCAGAAGGGATGAAGTGTGCTATGTCTTTTCGGGCTTTGTGAAGATGTGCTTCAAGGCTGCTGTTCTGAGGTAGGCCTCCGTTGATGGGAACCCCTTGCTCGTTGTAGAAAGGGTAGTAACCCAGGCGGTTGGCATAGAAGATGGTGACATTCTGGCCTGTGTGGACGGCTCGTGGACTGCCCCTGATATGGAAAAGTTCAAGGCTGACGTTGATATTGTGCTTCAACGTACACATATCCAATGGAGCATTCCAGGCTGCCAGGAAAGGCTTGCGGCCCACCAGAGGCAGCTTTGCAGGTTTCTGGCAAAAGGCAGAATGGACCAGGATCAACAGCCAGGAACAGATGATGGCACAGGCTATGGGCACAGTGTGGTGTTGCAAGGCCCCGCAGGGCACACCGGGCATTCTGCTATGTGACTCAGCACAGGCAACTGTCAATCATCCTGTGATGGACAAAAAAAAATGAGGTAAGTAGCACACAGGGTTATGTAATATTTGCACAATAACTGGTACATTTACATTTAACATGATTTATCCAATGCGACTTGCGTTCAAGGTAGATATTTTATCAGTTAATGCACGATTTGAAACCATGAACTTGTTAACCATGATCTCCTGATTTAGCAACTGCTAGCTCGTAAGTTAAACAATAGTTTAAAGTAAATATAAAATGGCATTCGTAAACAAATTAGTTCATGTAGTTGTAGTCAGTGTAAAATGGGATATTCAATTAATCAAAATATAGGATGGGAGTCTGGACTTGATTTTATCAATTGGGAATTGATTGGATTGTGAAAAGTTTCATACCAGAAACTTTAGATACCAGAAATGAGCCAAACATGAATACAAGTTTGTTAAAATAATAGCTAAATAGCTATTTGGTTATCAGCAGACACTGCAACCCAGATGATTTAAGTGAAAAAGTATTTTCAGAGACAGAGAAAATTGTTAAATTATGGAAATCTTATGAGGACAAATATTGTTTCTTAAGAATAACATGCACTGAATTGTTTCAGTAGTGAGTATCAGTTTTTAATTTCATGTTGACTTTAAATGCTTGTCTTAAATTATGTCTTAAATGCATGTTAAAGCTAATTTTAATTTTATTCTAAGTTCAGTGCAAACATTGAATGTTTATTCTTAGCAAGGAAAAGGCAATTATGACTGATTGTAAAGTAAAATTAGGCTAAAATGAAGTAGCTTGTAAAACTGACAATTCTGAAAACTTTGCAACTGAATGAACATATACAGTATAGACAGTCAAGAAATACAAGTATTTTTGTACTGACTCAGTAGATATTGTATAAAATGGTTAAGGTGTTCATCTTTAAGATGGATGTGAGGCCCTTTGTACAAAGTCTTAAGCCAAGTTAACTGCAAAGTAGGGAGAGGTCAAGCATAAACATAACATTTTGTTCTTCAGCTTGGTTTGATTATGAGTCAAATGTTACTTTGGGGGTTGCAGTCATCAGTCAAACCAGCAGTTAACCACAAGGGTAATGGCCAAATCCAGCCACATACTCTCACCAGTGTGGCGCCCACATAGCCATAATCATAGCTGTCCTCGCCAGATGACCTATCTGCATGCTAGAGCATTAAAAGACAAGACAAAGGTAAAGGGGTATGCATGTCATTGCATTAGATATAACCAACTGACATCTGCAAACAAATACTCAACAAATACTTTTCTAACAACTAACACTTTTCTGAGTTATGCAATGATTTTTACCAGCTGGTGTCAAGGTGAATTTTAGTAGATCTGTAAAGTCAGATACTCTCAAGTGTCCAAACACTTTTAGGTCTGCTGCAAAGTACAATATCCTAAACCTCTCATCTGACTTCATCATTACGTGGTGAATTGGGAAAAATGTGAAAATTGTGGTCCAAGTTTGCTTTAAAATGTTACAGGATATTCTTTAGTACTGGATAATCAGGAATCTCTGATTTCTCATAGAATAAGGCATGGAACCAATCATTAGTAACCATGGCAGTTACACATGTATTGGGAGGTTATTAATGCCAGTGTGCTAAATCAGAGGGTGAAAAATGAGGTATGGCGTGGAATGTTGCGGATGAAGGCAAATTGTGGAGCCCCGTGGTGGTTGTGTTATTGAGTGGAAAGAGCTTGGCTGAGAGTGCCGTAGCTCCTTTTTCCCCTAGGACTGGCGCCGGGCCCGTGCCATGAGGGGGAAGAATTAAACCACTTCCTGCATAATAAGACCTCTGCTTTGCAGCGAGCTTTACAGATGATCTTCACGGCATTTGTGCATAGAATACATTCAAACACTGATCATGTATAAAAGGCTTTACTTACAATGCTGTAATCCAGAACGGGCTTGTGACAGAGGTTGTTAAAAACGGAGAAGAGGAAGGATCCCACATGTGATTATGTCTAAGTATGCGAGAGAATTCAAGTGGGGGGAATGAATAAAACTTACCACAAAGCTTTAGGGTTAGCCGGCCCGTCAATGAAAACACTTTTTTTGACGTGATGAATTTTTCTGAAGAATTTAAGTGATTGTGCCTGTACTTTTATATTTATTTATCTTTGAGCTTCCTCAAACCCTCAGCCCGCTCTGGCAATAATTAAGATACATGTGGCTTAGTGAGAGTGGGAAGAATTAAACCACTTCCTGCATAATAAGACCTCTGCTTTGCAGCGAGCTTTACAGATGATCTTCACGGCATTTGTGCATAGAATACATTCAAACACTGATCATGTATAAAAGGCTTTACTTACAATGCTGTAATCCAGAACGGGCTTGTGACAGAGGTTGTTAAAAACGGAGAAGAGGAAGGATCCCACATGTGATTATGTCTAAGTATGCGAGAGAATTCAAGTGGGGGGAATGAATAAAACTTACCACAAAGCTTTAGGGTTAGCCGGCCCGTCAATGAAAACACTTTTTTTGACGTGATGAATTTTTCTGAAGAATTTAAGTGATTGTGCCTGTACTTTTATATTTATTTATCTTTGAGCTTCCTCAAACCCTCAGCCCGCTCTGGCAATAATTAAGATACATGTGGCTTAGTGAGAGTGGTTTTTACAGAAAACTTTTAGGCGACAGCTTCAGAGAAACCACAAAAGGCATGGAGTCGACCTGATGCTTGGATTTCGACTTCATTCAGTCCCATCCAAATGTGAATTTGATCCAAATTGTACACATAAATATGACGGAGACAGAGAGGTTCCTTGAATCGCCATAAAGGAACCTCAGGGCTCTGAGAATGACGTGAGGCAAGTGTTGCTATTTAATCATTTGTTTGCCTCAAATGAAATAAGATAACATTCTTTAACATCCGTAGCTTTCATTGTCATTACTGATATTTTCCATTTGATCTTTCCTCAGAGTCACTGGAATCCAAGGATCACACACAAAGAGATCACAGATATAAGAGGTCTAATTTGGTTATTTATTGCTGCGTTTAATGCTTAAATGGTAAACAAAACCTTAAAAAGATAATCTTAATCACAGTGGAACTCAAACAGAGTTCTACGTCAGGTTAATCTGAGAGCGTGTTTTGGTTTGAGGTGGCTTGTTTTCTCTTAGGTAGTAAGGATAATAAGTGATCTCTTCAAGATCAAAGAATTGTATTTTGGGCACTGCTGACACGATAAGTAGCTTCTAAAGCTACCTTTGTGTACTGCTGACAATGAAATGGTATAATGACACTACGCTTTTACCATATACCACAAGAGGCCTTCACAGGGATCATGGCCTCCTGGGAAACGTTGACGTTAGAGGCTGTCAATTTCTCCAGCATCATTGGCTGTCACCCAAGAGAAGCATTTTATCCGGGAGTGTGTAATCTCATCTGATTAAATAACTTCAAAATATTTACAGAGCCACTGTTCAAAGACCTCAGTGGTGCTACGGCACATTTCCTGACAGTAAACTTTAAATTAAACCCTTTGAGGAACACATATATTTGGAATGAGCTAATTAGGTTTTCTTTCATTTGATTTCCTTTGCGGAGAGGTCTTGCCCTACAACTTTCCCATTCAAAATAGACACAACACTGTTGAAAATCCCCTTTACACTATTAGTGATATATCTACACTTTAGAATGCATTAATATTAAAATTGTGGTTGATAATTATTTTCATATTTTGACAGATAACCGATAACGGCTCTATACTAATTTTATTTAAAATTTGTATTAAAGGTATATGTAAATGTACAAATTCTTACATTTATTTTGTATTAAATGTATTTTTACTATATTAAAATGTGTACGGTTTATACTGTTTTCAATTTAGGCATAATGTACAGCTTGAAAAATTTACATTTTGAGATTTGCTAAAGATTGCGTTTAACAGTGATTTTTCAACTGTTAGTTTGTTCAAATATTTACATTACATAAGCGTTAAATGATGGCAAATGTAAAAAATACAGGTATTGAGCATGATTAAATGATATCGATAAATTTTAAAACCTCTAATATCGGCTGATAACGCATTTGGTACCCAAGTATTGTGCATCCATATTTAAAGGTCTTCGAAACCCCATGTAAACAAATTTGCCTCTATAGTTTCCTATCGAAAGAGGGCAAATATTGCTCTTTGATAGCTTTATATTTCCAAGACACAGCACATTAAAAAAAAATCACATTTTTCACACAAGTTAACTCAACTCAAAGTATGCTACAACAGTCATTCAAAAACATTCACTGATGTCTGGATACAAAGTATGTGCAGGAAAGAAAACAATGAATTACAGAGTTTACTTAACTCAGAACAACAGACAACAATTTTAGAAATGCTATAAGAAGATGGAATGTGCCTACTTTTGTCATGCACTTTGTTTTGAGAGTGTGCTGATGTCAACTGGGTCATATGAAGTGTGTGTGTATATATACAATTTTGAGTCACAGTAATTAGAAGTCACTCACCTGTAGATCCCACGCCACTGCTTCAGTCACATATGGCTGATGATGCACTACACACACCTCTCTACATCTACAGTACTCTAGAATAGTTTTTCTCTGTCTGCTGAAAAGCCTACCAACTGCTTACTTATATACTGTACACAGCGAAGAGAGAGAGAAACAGAGAGTTTCCTGAAAGGGAGGAGAAAACGACCACAGAGCCACAGCGAGAAAACCACAACACTGCGATTAGAGTAGAGAAGGAGGGAGGGAGGACTCCAGTCTAAATCCCATTGAGTGAGTGTGTACGTGAAAGTACATTTGCTTGAGTGTGTGTGTGCACATTTGATCCTCTAGACACCGTGCACAGCATCTTACCCTCATCCACATCACTCTGCATTAGCTGGGTTCGTCATCCTCCAATCACCTGGCTGTGTTCACAAGGGATTTTAATACACTAGATGCATCCAGGCCTTGTTGAAGCTCCGGGAGCGTTTTTCCTGCTTGAGTTACTGTCCCTTGTGGCCTGAGATTGTCTTGTTTTTGTCTCTTAGTCACTGTCTTTTGTGTAAAGTAGACATTTGCCAAGAAATATAACTAGTGGCTGTAAATAAACACAAAACATTATACATCCAGGGATTAAATGGGGGTGGGGAAACCTAAAATAGGCACCAAACAAGCAAGCAAGCAAATAAATAAATCAAATGAAAACCGCTTTTCCGTTTAGATTCTTCCTCTTTCTCTTAGAGCCATCGTCTACATTTCAATTAAATGTTCATTTTTAAAAAAACTAATAAGTTAGTAACAAAGTTATTATATTGTGATTCCTAAATTCACATTTTAGCATTTAAAATGTCTTGTTTTAGTGTCATATTTGTAGTTTCTGTAGACAAAATAATATTATAGAATTTTAATATTGGCAATGGAAATAATTATTGGCCTGAATTTTAATAACATTGCATCCTTAGCGAATGCACTTGCTAAACAGAGTGGGGGATATAAAAATAAAATAATAATTTTAAAAATAAATAAACTGGATCTTACAGGAAATGGAATGGATTGGCAAACAGACTGGCATTAACTTAACTTTACTTTATTTAATCTCAAGGTGTTTTTCCAACGTAGTTTTGTTGTGAAATGACTCAGTATTATGATGTTCCTGGTCTTTACCATGAGAATTATGCATTTATGTTCACACATTTACATTTTTCCACGCCTAAATACACACATGACCCCAGTTTTGGTTGGAAACGGAATACAATCTAATTGCAAATATCCATGGTGTGATCTCTGGAAGCATTAGTTGCATTCCTATGGCAACCCGTTCTAAATTACCATGTGAAAGTTATAGTCGCCAAACTTTGTTAGCACATTTTTCTCTAAAACATTCCTAATTTAAAGACAGTGCACGAGTCCTGTGGTGCAGCTGTCTCTACATTTATGGGGTTCCTTAAGATCCCTGGCTTGCAACTGAGATAAACAGGGGATGCTGATTATCTTTCTCAAACAAAGTCTGAATTCTCACCGAAACCATTACATCTGGTCTGGAATGGTACTTGTTTTTCTTAAATACTGTAAGTGTGACTATTCAGTTGGTGTCTGGAATCATGATAGAAACTTGCTAGCTCTTGTAGCAATTTTGTGTTGTTATCCGAGCATGAGGAGGTTCTCTTGTTGACAGCCAACAGTCACCAAGTCACCTGCTATGTAAGGCGTTCAGTATAATGATAGGGTTTAGGTCAGTGCGTAGGGGTAGTGGAGGCATGTTGTCTTGGTGTATACAATTTTCAAACTAAAAGCCTTGCAGTCTTCGCTTGTGCATGGTCCCTTTGTTGTATTTGGTTTCATAATAAAAGATACCAATAATGATTGGGTCTGTGATGTATAAGACAGTACAGGAAAAATCTAGCTTAAAC